TTCGTGTGCCACTATTTGCGTACGATGTTAATTAAAGCAATAAAATCAAAGATAATATATCAATTTCTTTCTTTTATTATTCTGAATTGATACTTAATTTAAAATTTAATCTACTTTTGTTATACTGAATTGATTTAATTTGTAATTTAATCTATGTGTACGTTCCATATTTTTAACGAAAATAAATAATATGACAGTTAATCAAAATTTAGTATTACTTATTAAATAAAAAAGAGTTCTCGGTATTGTTTTATCGATCTATATTATTAAAAGTGTGAGGGTGTACGAAAAAATTAATTTATTTTGACATAGAATACGTATAAATAATACGTATGTATAATACGTACATACATACGACTAATATAACGTACAGAAAAAAATTCACATCTCGTGTTTATTGTCATAATACAATATGGCTGCAGAGAAAACAGTAGAATTTTACCACCGTTAGCAATGATCGCGTTACGTATAACTTATATTACAGTAAAGTATCATATCTGTTTTTTATTTCTACACTTTCTAAATTGATGTATACGGTGCATTAAGTTAAAGTGAAATAAATATACGTTTGTTTTTTACCTGAATTTATTGCATCGTGTGTACCAGTTCAAAAAATGTATAAATAAAAAACAAACTTCATGATGGAACAAAATAAGGTGTATTATTCCCGTACGCACTCGTTGATAATTAATGACCAATCAGGAATTGGTCACAAATGTTAAAAACCTATATGGCTGCTAACAATTGGCTCTAAGTCAGCTGTCAATGCTGTCAAATGTTAATTGAGGGTTAAACGGATTAAAAGTCCAAGATACCATATTGCATAAAAAATTGTAGAAGTCACAGGCGGCACTACATATAAGAAACAAATTAAATTTTTTATCTTTTCAAAAAGAAAAATTGACATTTGTCAGCGGAAATTGACAAAAATCAGAAATGAGAAATTGACATTTTTTGTTTATGATTACTTTTGATTGGCTGCCCCGACTCTATTGCTTCTTTTATGCACACCGATACACTTTGTTTTTCCCGTCATGACGTATATAACATATATATAACTAATATACATGTAACTATAAATGCCGAAACGGCTATTGATGACATCGTAATTTGATTGAAATGATATTAGATTATGCCGTTGAAATATTTGATGTAATCGGCAGTGTTACATGATAAGTAATATTAGTGCTTTTGATGTATTCCATGAATTTAGAGATATAAGCATTTCTGAGATATAGGCAATGAAAATATTTATTATTTCTAAATATATAATTTCTATATCGTATAATATAGTTATTCTAATTGGTTTCTATTTATTTCGATACCGTTTCTGCCGCATCTATTATTTTGTTTGCGCTGTAGTCATTAATTCATTTCAATTTTCTTTTCGTCATTAATCTTTTTTTCAAATTTTACTCTTTTATTTTTGATATTTCTTTTTGCCTGGAGAATGATCGACCTAAGAATGGAATATTCCTTGCGCGGCAAATCAATTCACGCATCGTGCCTTCGAATAATTAGAAAGTATCTCTTGTATATTTCTTAAACAACGTGTTATATATATAATATACATATACATTTTACATATAATAATATATGTATACATAGGATAGAATATTTTAATATACTTATATCAATTATTATTTGTCGTTCATTTCAAAAGAAAGACATGTTGATTAAAAACTTCATAGCTAGAAGAAAATATATAATTACGATTTTTTTTTTAATTAATCGGTTTTGTCTCATTCTATGCATAATGATCATTAAAGACAAACTTATTAAAAAAATAATTATTTTATAAAGTATTTTATATTTTATATAAAAATATGTCAGAACAAAATATAAAATATGAAATATCTTATAAATTATGAAAATTTGATGAGTTTACTTTAATATGTTTTACATTTCAGTCTAAAAAAATTGATTTATGTAAGAGCTATTAAAAATTATGTAAAATTTATATAAATTAAAAAACATTTTACATAATTACTGAAACTTATACAAAAAAATTAAACGATTATCTTCAAAAAATATGACGTTAAGATTTGATAAAATATGTAATATAAAAATTATTGATATACATCTGTTCTTTCCTCAAAATTATGAAATTTTAAAATCTAAAATTGTAAAGTTTAAAGTATGAAATATTTTTTCTAAAGCAAGAAAAAATGGAAAAATTAAGTTGATACATTAAAACGGTCCACCTGTGTGTATATACTATATATATATATATATATACATATGTTTCAATATGTTGATAGATTTATACATAAAAGCATTAATAACCCTGTATATATAGAGTAGGATGCGCAACTGCGGTTTCTATTTTATTATCCTTATACAAACAATCTGTCCTTTTCCTTCTCTTTCCCTTTCTCTTTCTTTCTGGCCGATTAGAAATTATTATTACCATTATTAATAATACCGCGATATTTTATTGTATGGAATCATAGTATAGATAAATCATAGAAGTATGTGTTAGATTTCGACATTAATGTATGTGGGGTGTCTCAAGAAATGCCTCTCAGTTACGAATATTTCAAATCAAAGAAGAAAGATTATTTAACATATATAAGACTCCACTTTAAAACATGTTGGAAATAATTAAGGCAGGACAAGAAGTGATCTATTTTAGAAACGTTACCATTACAAAATAAATATAAATATCAACGAAATAAATAAAAGCTAGAATTTGCATACTAGAAGCTGCACGCAATTTTCTAACGATTAAAATCTTCGACTTTTGTAATTGACTTTATTTTGATCTTGTTAATAATGTTAATAATGAGCATTTTATCGGCTGCTCGCAATTAAAAGGCATTTGTCAGTAGCGATCATCTTATCGAATACAATGCAAAACAAATCATATTCCTCTTAGTACTAACGAGTATCTTTGTCACTACTTTAAAGACAACTTAATTTTAATCAGGAATAAAAATTATTTTAATAACGTGTGAAAGATGGAAATTTGTAATTAAATCCCTAAAAAATTAAATCCCTATATAAAACTATGAAATATATATATAAATCATTAACAGAAAGTATTGCTTGTAATTTTTCATTTGAAAGCATTCGATTGAATGATTGAATTTGATAATTTCGTAATGACGGGAAGAATTAATTAGAACAAATAGAATAATAACAGTGAAGGAGAAATTTTCCTGGAGTTACGGTATTTCAAGCGGCACCCTGCACATAAGTCTCGCGTTTTATTATCATATACGGTGTACGATAATATTAGACTAAAACTATCAGAAGCGATATTAATTATGGTGTGTGATATAATAACTAATTTACAATTAGTTGAATTGGTGTGTCAACTTCTGCGCTCTAATTCACGTCTTTTCGGAGCACGTCCAAGTTAAGACTTATCGATTAAGACTTATCTATTTTTTCATTGCAGCTATATTGAATTATTAGCCACACAATACAGTTTTGCAGAAAACATATTGAAAAAAATCCAGAGAACGTGCTACTTAAATATTCTCAGGACTTTCCTCGAAGAATTGGGTTGTGTAATATCAAAAATAAAAAATCAGTTTTTTTAAGTAAATTTTTTCACAGTATGTTAAAAGAGATTGATTTTTTGTATATAATCAATCGTGTTCAAGTATAAATTAGTGAAATATACCAAGAAGGTTTCTTTTTCTTATGCTGCAGATTAGTATAATCATATAATTGTTCATACATAAATTTTTTTGCCGAAAAGAATCATATATACAATAGTTTATTCAAGATTTATACTCATTTATTAAATTAATTCACACATTGAAAAGTGAGCTTTTAATTTATTAACTAAAAAAAAATTATAATTTTTATTTTTAATTATTGTTATAAAAATGATTATAAAGATTAATTAATACAACAGTGATCCACACTTAACTTTCCGTTCAAATCATTAGATATTTTGACTAAAAAAAAAATTATAAAATAATTTCTGATATTATAGGCGGATACATAATTATAATACAGTATTGGTATATTAGATCTTTCTAATTAGTAATTTATAATAATTTTTTGTACTTTTTAATCACATTCTAAAATATATTTTAGTTAACTAATATAACAACACAAACAGAAATAATAGAGTCCACCAATGATCCACGCGGCGTAGTAGTCAAATCATTTAAAATTGGCGTTGTACAGAATATATAACATACCAAGAAAATAGAAAGATACCGGAACAAATGAACATATCGACAAATTAATATATTTTATTAATCTACATTATCTACAATATTATCGGATATGCGTGATGCGAAAAATTTAATTTTATCAACGTATATGCAAAAATATACAAAAAAAAAATTTCACATGTCATAATTCGGCTGTAATGGAAAAATAGGAATTATTTATTTTAATACATTCACAATGCGTTAATAATGCAGAATGTGAATTGAAGGTTACCGAAATATGAAAAGCGACAGACAGCAGAACTAATGCGATTATATATATACATCGATCGTGATTAAATGAGTAGATATGAATATGTGCCTTGAAGTAAAAACTAAAAATATAGTTGTTTTCTTTTTCTTCTACCTAATTATTTATCCCCACGATATATAAGGACTCACTGCAACGTGTGGTTATCTCCATAATTTGTATGCATATAATTTAATATGTAACTCTCTACGAGACGTAAGAAATAAATATCGAGGAACATCATATTTTATTTCATATTCTTCTTATTTTCCTCGTCTTAAAAAAATATACGTAAAAAATATAATTATCAAAATATTTCTTAGACAAAATATTTCAGTAAATCTTGCATTATATTCAGACATCTTTTAGATAACTTTTAGATATCTTCTAAGATATCTTAAAGATGTCTTTAAAAAAAGATATCGTTTAGATATCTATAAGACCTCGATGTTTTCTGGATTGACTGAAAAAATAAAGACTTGATAATTTCTATATATATTTTATTTATAAATATTAGTTACACACACACACACACACACACACACACACACATATATATATATATATATATGAATGTGTAAATCTTTACATTTTTTTAGATAAAGGGTCTGTTTTTTCTGACTGAACTAATGTAAATTTTTGGAACTTAAAATGAGATATGTTTGATATTCGTCAAAAGTGAGAAAGATAGTTCTAATGCAGAAAACAGACCATATGTTTAATTTCTACCGATGGTTTGAACGGGTCAAAATCAAGTCAGAGCAGAGAGAAATCTGAGAGTGGACGAGCAATCAAAGTTGATTATCCATCCTTGTCTAACCCACTTAATAGTATGGAAGAGAACCACAAAAACGTGTATATTACCCTATAAGATTTGTTACATAAAAAAGGCCGGGATGCCTGGTCTTAGGTTTCTCTCTGGTCAGAGTCGGGTTACAGTTAAGTTGGCTTGCCTGTTTCCACCAATCAGAGTTACACCATGATACAAGAATATAAGGATTCCATTCCCAAGGATGCGCAATCGTCTTGAATATGGCAGTTACTCTTTGACCAATCAAAACGTTGTCCGAAATTGTAAAAAGGAATCTGACAACTACCTTAAAATTTTATTGGGTAGGATTCTTAATGTTTCCACCGTAAGAGCACTCGACTGAACCCGACTTCGACTTGACTTTGACCCTCGGTGGAAATATAGTTATATTTCTCTTATAGAAATAATTTGTAAAAATTTATCGGTTTATTTAGATTTATATATACTCTCTTAATTAGTTGTAGATTTTCCAATTAATTCTTGTTCCTTGCGCAATTCTTGTTCACGTTGTTGTTCCCTATTCATTGATTCTTTTTTCTTAATCTGTTGAAGACGCAACACGCGTTTCTGCAATAAATCGTTTTATATAGCTGAAAATACCTATATTACCTACATGCGCACATCTTAGAAAAATTAATTTTATAATTCACCTTTAGTTTAGACGTTCTTTCATGAATATTAATCATTTCTTTTCTTATCACTCCTAATTTTCCTTGATACATTTTAACGGTTGAAAACTATAACATTTTTCAATGTAATTTTTCTGTCATGAGATGTTAATACTCCAAACATATATTACAAGATCTTTAATCCGAAATTTCAAAAATCAAAATCTCTAAAAATCAAATATTTAAAAAACACCTAGATTATTTTTGTTTATTGTGTAAATGAAAATAAAATTTTTTGTTCGAAATCGAATTTTTATTTTCATCTTTAACTTCATCATGCTATGTACTCCAAATTCAAAAATATTCAAAATTTGAAACATTGCCAGTTATAATCATTTCGGATTAAAGATATTCAACTTATACCATGAAAGAAGGAAAAAGTCTTACCATATCATTTAAATCTATATCTTCACATGTCTCATGTATCCTTTTATCCTCAACCTGCATTCGTGTAAGTAGAGAGTCTTGTTTATTACTGTAAAAAAATAATATAACACAAACAATCAATGTGAAATCTTTACTGTTCACATTAATGATTTATATGCTTACGTCAGCTCGAAAAGTTCCTGCTTAACTTGTTCCAGTGGAGATTGATAAATACCCAAAAGACCTTCCGCCAGTTTTTCTGCAGCTTCTGAGAAATCTACTATATCTTCGCTATTAAAAAATATTTTTAAATTATGCATTATATTATGTATTACATAATTATAATATACATATATAATATATATATATTATATATTAAACTTTGTTAATATTTAAAGACATCTTGATTATACAATAAATCTGTATGTCCATTTTTTTACAATCTGATTGGCTATCTTTAAACACTTCTTATTAGAAAATTATTGTAGCCGCAACAATTTGGTATTAGAATTTTCATCTCAAAATGATTTCAGGAATCTGTCAGTAGATGGTGTGATAGGTCTAAGATATCCTGTATAATTGATATTAAAAATATGTTTAGAATATGTAGGATATAATAAAATTCTGAAGAATAAATTTCAAGTACAAGTTTTTCATAAGATTGTATCTTAAAATAACTATACGTTTGCAAATATACTGATGCAAATTTTCTTCCATATTTTAATATAAAGAATTCGCTCGCTGAGTCTCGTAATATTTTAATTATATATCTAAATTCTAAATAAGTGAACAAATATCTAAAAAAAAGGCTTGAAAGAATCTATCAATAATAATAATAATAAGCAAGCCCATCAAAGCCAATCATCTGTTAGTCGGATGTACAATTTATTTTCGTGTAATTAAACAAGTCATATCACAATTTTAATAAATAAACGTTTCGACCCCTATTTTTGGGTCCTTATCAATA